GACACAGCAGCTGCAGGTCGAGTTGCTCCCGCGGAATCAATCGTAGAAGCAACCAAGGCCGATGACGAAGAGGCTGCGAACCGGAAAGGGGCAGCCAGGGTCACAAACGGCATGGAAGGGGTTACTAAGACTGATGAGGACGCAGGTGCGGCAGACGCAGGTAATGAAGAAGAGGCTGTGATAGGTGTGACAGGCGCCGATAATGAAGAAGGGGCTGTGACAGGCGTAGTCCGAGGACAGTGTGTATATATATATTTATTTGTAACAATAAACCGAAGATGTTGAAGAATGTCAGAAACAGAAAGAGTGTCAGGTCCCGTATCCGTAGTCCATTCCCCTGCACGCGGTCCACAGACCAACAAACGGAGAGCAACACATGATGACCGTGTCTGTGTATGCTGCCGTGCCTGTGCAAGAGCATAGGCATGCGCCTCATCAACGGCATTAGCAACATTGTCAAGAATCCGTTCATGAAAAAGATTAGTATACATAGTAGTGAAATCGACCGTATGTGGGGCCAGACCTCTGAGAGAAGCTTTATTCTTTTTGAGGTCAAGCATAAGCTCGTCACTGCTCTGGACAATCCAACATCGTCGAATACCTTTGGTTTGAAAGAGTTGATTATCTTTTTCGCGAAGAGTACGGATGACGCCTTGAAGTGCTGCACTCAAACGAGCCGATGTAGGTGTTGTACTAGCTACAGGCTTGTGAGGCGGTCGGTGATGCAAACGCTGGACTCGTTGGGAGGGGTGCAGGTCACCCCGCTGGGCCGAATCCTCGTTTGCTCGCTACTACTAACAGAGTCTCGGTTGATGCGCTTTCCAAAAAAATAAATGAAAAATGAGACCCAGTCTTCAATCGTTATAAAGCAAAAAAAAAGGCCGTACCTCCCAGGAATCGTCATTTCCATCTTCAGCCTGCTTGTCCCCCGCACCTGCAGACAGATTAGGAAAGTCATGTCATATTAGCTACGGAAAAGGGGAACGAAAATTAAAAGACAGCCTGTGCGGCGCAGTGGTACACAGTACTACACACATATAACTGATAGTAGACAGATCATCAGTTTGAATCCTGATGCAATCAGACAGATACAACAATGTCAGGCACAAACTCCTCGAGAAAATTTATGCAGACTTGCAAAAGCGGTGTAACGGCAGAGACGATAGCTCGTCATATACCTACAACACACTCATATACCTACAACATACATTAGTCTGATAGAAGACAGATCATGAGTTCAAGTCCTGACGGAATCAGACATATACAACAATGCCAGGCACAGCCTCCTTGAGAAAATAATAAAATATATGTATAGATTTGCTATGCAGGGCAGTCAGCCGGCTCAGCACGACCGGGCCAGTTGGCCAGGGGTCAAGAAAGAGGCAAGGACCCCCCCCCCAAAAAAAAGACTTCAGGGCAGGACTGTGCTTGGACTAAGCAGTCAGAATCCGGTCTTAACTTCGATTTTGGTGATGGGTCAACCAAGGGGGGGGGGGGAGGTATAAAGTACTATAAACAGTGGCTAAAGGAGATTAAAAGGGTACATTAAACTATATTTCGACTGATGTTTTGCATTGTTGTCTCTTTTTTTTTTTTTTTCCTTGACATTCACAAGGAATGTCGAGGTGGTCCTCAGCCAAATGTCGTTTGCATCTAGGCTGTTTTCCCGGGCGCCCGGGCACCCAACTTCTGCCCGGGTACACGCCCGGGTGCCCGGCCGGGCATGACTCCCGGGCAGGGTTCCGGGCAGTCCCAGCGCCAAAAAAAAAATAATAATAAAAAAAAAATAAAAAAAAAATCGGAAAACAAATATGTTGTGTAGGATTGAAATGCAAACCACTTTTGGCTGAGGGTCACATTATAATTCCTCACAGAATCGGGGATAAAAAAGAAATAACAGAATCACACAAAGGCACCCCCCTTCAGACCCCTTTAGCCTCTTTAAAACCAATTTATACCCCCCTCCCCCCCCCCTTGACAGCCAGCTCGCAAAAAACGAAATGAACCCGGATTTGGAGTCCTCTGGGAGCGGCCGGGCAGGACCGGCCGGGCATGAGAATCTTCCTAGGTTTGCATTGCAAATTTACACAACATTTTTCTTTTGTCGATTTTTTTTGGAATTTGTTTTTTTTATTTTTTTAACATAATGCGCTGGGGCCGCCTGGGACCGTGCCCAGACCCTGCCCGCCCCAGGCAACCTTCCCCCCGCAGGGCCGCCCGGGGACCAGCGCAGCAGATTTGGGGAAACAGCATAAAAACAGGGACGATAGCTTGTCATATACCACAGACCCCCGCTGTCAAACCAGACTGAGGAGCAGCCACACTGAGCTCCATCTCTTCGTGTAGGTTTTTGAGTCGACCAACAGGCCTAGCTCAGTTGGTAAAACACCCCCGAACTGAACTGAACTGTTCTGTTGAAATACAGACCCCCCCCTGAGTTCGAACTCCACTGAAGTCACAGCCATGCTTGGGGTTGCAATCAGACTCGTTCTCAAACACACTTTTCATGCATGTAAACAGCAACGCAGCATACTGGCGACATACGCCCACTCAAAATTCAGATATATGGCTTTCAGATACGAGTTCACTCTCAATTGGCTATGGCGACTTCAGCGCCCAAACATCTCACTGTTCACATACACTGGATCACCCTGGATATCCCACACGCATCACTCTAACACTCGAACACACA